CCGCCGCCGCCGCCGCCGCCGCCGCCACCACCACCACCCGGCCGGAAATTTCTTTTTTTTAATCACTAGTTTCAGTTTTTGTTTAAGAAAGAGTCTTGAGGCTGGGCTGTGAGTTCAAGGCCAGCCTGGTCTACACAGAAAATCCCTGCCTCAAAAACAGACACACACTAAAATAAGAAAGAAAGAAAGAAAGAGAGAGAGAGAGAGAGAGAGAGAGAGAGAGAGAGAGAAAGAAAGAGAGGGAGAGAGGGAGAGAAAGAAAAGAAAAGAAAAGGAAAGAAAGAAAGAAAGAAAGAAAGAAAGAAAGAAAGAAAGAAAGAAAGAAAGAAAGAAAGAAAGAAAGAAAAAGGATCTTGAGTTGGGTATGTTGGGGCACTCCTTTGATCCCAGCGCTAGGGAGGTAGAGGCAGGCAGATCTCTGTCAGTTCAGGGCTAGCCTGGTCTATAGAGTGAGTTCCAGGACAAGAAACCCTATCTTGAAAAACCAAAACAACAACAACAACAAAAAAAAAAGATCTTGAAGATGCAGGAAAGTATTTCAGGAAGTCTGTTTGGTAGAAGTTCATATACAACTACGGAAGAAGGTATGTGAACATAAGCTGCCCAGATGGAAGTATTTCTGGGGCGTGGGGACTTAGGAGGAGTCTGGGGTCTCTGCCCCTTCAAGCTTCGGATGGAAGGTATCTTTTCACCAACTCTGTGTGGCTTCTTCTACAGTTGGATGACATTTGGCCTGTGACTCCCCATTCTAGAGCCAGAGAGGACAATGGTGAGTTTAGAGGGAGGACACGTTTTCCATGACGTTGTCTTAGAAGTTTCTTCCTCACACACTTGTCCTGCTTTCTTTTTTCCACTCTCTCCTGGCTTTTGTCTCTCTGCCCTTCCAGATCTTGACTCCCAGGTTTCCCAGGAAGGTCTCGGTCCACTTCTTCAACCCCAGCCCAAATCCTATTTCAAGAGCATCTCTGTGACCAAGATCACCAAGCCAGATGGGGTGAGTTGAGGGAGAAGAATTAAAAAATTGGCCAGAGAATGCTCTGGAAAGAGGGAACTGTATGAGAAAACCCTAAACTCAACATAGTGGTATTAGAAGTATGTTGGGACTTCTCCTTGCAGGTAGTGGAGGAGCACCGCACTGTGGTGGACAGTGAGGGACGGAGGGAGACCACAGTGACCCATCAACAAGCACACGACAGTTCCACAAGTGGTGAGTTAAGGGTGACTCTTAACACCTGGGGGAAGGATGTGCCTACCGATCGATACTCTTCCTCTGTCTTGTTTAGTATGCCAGCATGTACGACTTTGTTCCTAGATCCAGTCTCTGAAGGATCGTCAGCTCTGGAGGATCCCTTTTCCCTCCTGGATTTGCTCCTAGGACGTTGGTTTCGGTCCCGGTAGCTTTGTTAACTAACCTTCAGAAGCCGTCAGGTCCTTTCCGCTCCCTTCCCATTGCCCATTGCCAATAAGCTTAGCTTTTTGTGTCATCCGAAGGTTCTTGAGTGTGTGAAACAATTCATTGAGCTTATGCCAGTCTGTCATTCATCCAAACTGACCAATAAAGCCTTTATTTATGCTAAAGGTCTGGGTCTTGGTTTTGTCAAGGTTCTTTTGCTTTTCAGACCCGTCCAGGGTTTCCAAAATTATCTTGGCTTACAACTTTATATTGTATGCGTACACCAGGAGTGGTATGCACATGTGGGTGTCAGTTCTTTCCACGTTGTGAGTTCCAACTCAAAATTTCAGGCTTGAACAGGTATTTTTACCCACTGAGGTGTCTCTCCAGCCCTTCACTATTATTTTTTTAAATAATTTTTTTCCATTTCCAAAACAAGATTTAATAATTGAGAGTTAGGCACAAGAAGAAAAAGATTTTATTATTAAGGAAATAACTAGAGATAATTCCAGTAATATTTCTAGAAAAGAATGTCTCAGATTGCCAAAAGATATTTGAATGAAAGTAAGATAACTGTTTCCCTAAGTACAAGACCACTAACAGAGTAATTCAAGAGCTAGTGCACTCCGTGGGCAAATAGACTTTTTGTAAGATGGTGTCGGGCTATGTTGTTTGTGGTTGGCCTGGAGTTTGCTGTGTAGACCAGTTTGGCTTTGAACTCAGAGATCTTCTGCCTCTGAGTTCTGGGATCAAAGGTGTGTGCCTTTTTAATTTGCTATTTTTTTATTTTTACTCATTTTCTGAGTAATTATTTATTTATTGGTTTTAATTAATGTTAGAAAAATATAATTAGCAAAAAAATAGATTTTTTTTAAATTAAATCTTTTTAGCTAAACTGAAGTTTTTCTTTTTAAGTATTTTTTTTGAAACAAGGGCTGACTATTGACTATGCCCAGCTGTCCTAGAACTTGTTATGGCATTCCAGGACAGCCAGGGCTACATAGAGAAACCCTGTCTCAAAAAAAACAAACATAACAAAACAAAAAGTGTAACAATCAAGCACAAGAGATAGTAGTTAAAAAAAAAAATCTACTGAGGGTTGGGAGAGATGTGGTGCTCACCTATAATCCTGGCACTGGGTAGGCAGTCTCTGAAGCCAGCCTGGTCTCTGAGTTCCAGGACTGCCCGGGCTATACAGAGAAACCCTGGCACAAACAATTCAATCTGTTACTTTGTTCGCTTATATTTTTTGTTTGGTGAACCTTTTTGTTTTTCTTTGTGTTTGTTTGTTTGTTTGTTTTTCGAGACAGGGTTTCTCTGAGTAACAGCCCTGTCTGTCCTGGAACTCCCTCTGTAGACCAGGCTGGTCTCGAACTCACAGAGATCCACCTGGCTCTGCCTCCCGAGTGCTGGGATTAAAGGCGTGCGCCACCACCGCCCGGCTGTACTTTTTCTTTTTAGTTTTTTAAATTCTGGATTTGATCTTTATATATGGCATAAATCCAGAAAAAGATTCATTTTTATTTTCTGTATACAGGTTTTTTGCCTACATGTATGTCTGTGCACCATGTGCATATCTGGTACCTGTGGAGGTCAGAAGGGGGCATGGGATCCCCTGGAACTGGAATTACAGACAGTTGTGAGCTACCATTTGGGTGCTGGGATTTGAACCCAGGTCCTCTGAAAGAGCAGCCAGTAATCTAAGCTGATGAGCCATCTCTCCAGCCCTCCTTTATCACACTTTTTTTTTTTTAAAAAAGATTTATTTATTTACTATGTATACAGTGCTGTGTCTGCATGGCCAGAAGAGGGCACCAGATCTCATTACAGATGGTTGTGAGCCACCATGTGATTGCTGGGAATTGAACTCAGAACCTCGGGAAGAACTGCCAGTGCTCTTAACCTCTGAGCCATCTCTCCAGCCCTTTATCACACTTTTAAGTATGATAGGGCCAGGTGTAGTAGTGCCACCTGTTACCCCAGGCAGAGAGAAGAGTATTATTGCAAGTTTGAGACCAGCATAGCCTACTCAAAAATAGACCCTATCTCAAAAATAGAAATGCTGCTGGGCGGTGGTGGCGCACGCCTTTAATCCCAGCACTCAGGAGGCAGAGCCAGGCGGATCTCTGTGAGTTCGAGGCCAGCCTGTTCTACAGAGTGAGTTCCAGGAAAGGCACCAAAGCTATGCAGAGAAACCCTGTCTTGAAAAACAAAAACAAAACTATATATATATATATATATATGCTATCCTTATTTTTAGTAGATGATTCTTCTTCCCATTTTCTTACTATACTCATAAATTTATATAAGGATACAGTTGATTTTTTTCAATGAGCTTTTCAGTGTTTAATCATAAATATTAGGCCAAAGATCACCAGATATGTGAGGAAATCTCACACGAGTAATAGAGATTCATACAAACAAAAGTGACTTGGAATAAACTCACTATACAGAGAGACTTGACAAGTAAACAAGTCTCTTATGGTTTTAGAAATATGAGATAATAATGTATAAAAATGTCACAAGTGAGCTGCCAAATTGTCTCAGTAGGTAAAGGCACTTGCTGCCACACCTGACCACCTTGGTTCCATCTTCAGGACCCAGAAAAGAACGACTTTTCACAATAGCACATGCCTACACACACACACACACACACACACACACATAATATAATAAATATAATATAATGATCCAACAAGATGGTTCAGAAAATAAAAACACTTGCCATTGAGGCTGACAACCTGAATTTAATCTCCAGGACTCACATGGTAGAGGAGAACCAACTCTCACAAGTTACCTTATGACCTCGACACAGGCACTATGGCATACATACCATATACAATTCATGAAACTAACTGTTCACTTAAAAAAGTTCACAAGACAAACAGTAAGCTGGGCGGGCTGTTTCAGTAGGTTAAGTGCTTGTACAAACATGAGGGTTGTTCACCCACACGGAAAGCTGGTCCTGATGGCACACACTTGTGACCCACGGCTGGGAAAGCATGAGGGAAGATCCGTGGGCTGGCTTGCCAGCCAGTCTAGTAGAATCAGCTCCAGGTCCACTTTATTCTGTTTGAAAAAGTGAGGAAAAGGGCAAAAGTGATTGAGGAAAATGCCCATTGTCGACCTCTGGCCTCCATACACATGCATGCATACTTCTTACCACTCACTCAAAAAGATTCTTTTTAATGATTTTCATTATTTGCCATGGGTGCTGGGTCCCCAGGGACTGGAGGTACAGACAGCTGTGAGCTGCTATGTGGGTGCTGGGAATTGAACCTGGGTCCTCTGGAAGAGGAGTTCGTGTTCTTAACCACTGAGCCATCTCTCCAGCCCTCCTCAAAAACATTTTTTAATAAAAAACAGTGCTGCTCTTGTAGAGGGCTAAGTTCAGGTTCAGTCCTCAACACCCATGTCACACAGCTTACAAGCCACCTGTAACTACAGTTCCAGAGGATGCAGACACATATAAATACATCTGGAAGCCAGAATATGACCTTGAATGTCTTCCTCAATGGCTCTGTTATTACCTTGAAACAGAGTCACTCACATGCTCACACCAGGAAAACAAACAGCAAGAGACTGGGATGTAGCTCAGTTAGTAGTTCTTGCCTAGCATTCATGAAGCCAAAGCCCTGGGTTTAAACCTCAGCACTACATAAAACTGGGCGTTGGCTGGGCATGGAAGAGCACACCTTCAACCTAGCACTCAGGAGGCAGAGGCAGGTGGATTCCTTAGTTCCAGGCCAGCCTGGTCTACAAAGAGAGTACAGCACAGTCAGGGCTACATAGTGAGACTCTGTGTGTGTGTGTGGGGGGGAGTGAGCAGAAACAAGCCAACTGTAAGATTTTGAAGGGCTAGTGACATGGCTGAGCAGGTAAGGCTGCTGGCCACCAAGCCTGGCAACCTGAGTTCAATCCCCATGACCTAGAGAGTTTAAGGAGCAAACTGACTCCTGCAAGGTGTCCTATAACCTCTGTGTGGGTACTGTGACACATGCTCCTCCCCTAAAAACAATGAAAGAAGAAAAAAGATTTTGAAGACAAAGATGTGGAAATCTCCCCAAAGTAGATATTTTTAAGACTTACTACAGGGGGCTGGAGAGATGGCTCAGCAGTTAAGAGCATTTATTGCTTTTGCAGAGAACCTGGCTTTGGTTTTCTGCACCCACATAGTGGTTCTTAACTATGTGCAATTCTAGTTCCAGGCAATCTAAGGCCCTCCTCTGACTTCTGCAGGCACCAGTCACAAATGTGGTGCATAGAGATACATGCCAACAAAAGACTCCTATAGGAGCTCAGCAGTGATGGCGCACACCTGTAATCCCAGAGGCAGAGGCAGGCAGATCTCTGAGTTTCAAGCCAACCTCATCTTCAGAGCAAGTTCCAGGACATCCAGGGCTGCAGAGAGAGAAACCCTGTCTCAAACAAACGAAAACAGAAAACACTCCAGTACATAAATATAATTTTTAAAAATTTAAATCCTCAGTGGAAATCATTGAATTTTTTTAAAAGTTATCTTAAGTGTATAAGTGTTTTGTCTGTGTGTACATCTCTACACTTGCATGGTGTAGTGCCCTCAGAAACCAGAAAGGAGAAAACAGGACCCATCCATATGCTGCATACAAGAAACACACCTTAACTCCAA